TTTTTTTTTTTAAACCGCTAAAGAAGACTAATGAGACAGAGCTGCTTTCACTGTTGAGTCATGCTGATGGCATCAGGTGCTGAGATAAAGATGTAATAGCCTGCTCAGGGGTGCTTCCCTAACACGTGCAAAAACAGAAGTGGGAAGCAGATAGCTGGTGTGGGACTATGTTGTTCGGGGTGAACGCGGGGATATGAGAGGGTATACGAGATGGAGGTCTGGCCGGTGATTAGTTAGTTCCCTGCTGGTTGAGCCTGACATGTCACAGGTTGACATGGGATGCAATTATAGAAGGGAAGTTTCCCAGCCCCTCAGGCATGTGCCAGCCATGCTGTCAACGCTGGCTGATGTGTCGGCTCTTGGCACCGCCAAGGGTGTCGCAGGCTCTTATGTGTGCTCAAAACTGCTACACTCCCATGAAAATTGGCCTTAGCTTTCCCCGAATGCATTGGATGATCACTCTGTGTGTGTGCATGGCTGTGCACACACGCTCAGCTACCTTTGTTTGAGTATTAGTTAAACCCTTCTCCACTCCCAGCCTTCTCTCAGTCTCGCTCTTTCTTATTTCCTCTGAAGCTACAAGGTAAAGCCACAACACTTGTGATTCTGCTGGCTTCTCACGCTGTTCCCACATCTTCTCTTTTCCCCCCGTATCAGTCTGCATATGACTCTGCCAGCAGTGCGAGTAAGCTCTATAAGACCCAAGGCAAATTACCTCAGCGGGACACTGCGCTTCTGTTCCCCTCGCTTCCTCTTCCTCTTCCTCATCGTCCTCTCTTTCCCCCCCCCTTCTCTGCATGTCACAAATCAAAGTGTGCACCTCAGCTCTGGCTGCACGTTGTGGGAGTGCAGCTTAAAATGAATTCAATGTCCTCCACTGGCAGATTCATGCCTATCCTACAGTGTGAGAAAAAACCGCTCCACTATGTGGGAAAAAAGAGAACATGGTCTTTTAGTAAAGGACACAGATGGCCATCTGAACTTTTGTCAAATCTTTTTTTTTTTTTAATCATAACATTTTTTTTCCCTCAGAAAATTGATTTGTACAAAGACTTCCATACTACCATCTAGTGGCTTGAAAGCCACGCTAGAGGGCCATCAGGTGTGATTTTCCACTTCAGACAATTTTTTTAGGAGGCGAAATAGCCTGAAATTGGATCCTCCAGCAGCTTGCAGCTCCTATGAGCTAGCCTTGGGCTACACAATACTTAGACGCAGCCCTTCTCTGCTCCCATTTCCAGAAAGATTCAAGTTCTAAAGATGCAGGGGTTAATCCTAAGAGAGGGGGTGGAGGAGCGACACTCGGCGACTTTCTCACCAACAAACACGTCCAGCAGTTGCATGCAAAGATAGGTGTACGGCATGTTTAGGGAAACGTAATTTAAAGCTGAAGAAGTGCCACGCAGCAGCCCGCTCTGAGTCTGCTGCCGTGCCCTCTTAGTGTTGTTAGCATCAACTGTAGGACGCGTCCCTGTGTCCTCTACCTGAAGCCCCGCTGTGATCTCACAGCAGGGGATCGTACGATGCTTCTTTGCCCCTCGCAGTTCGTAGCCTAACACCCCGACCAAGAGGGCCTGATTAAATAAAGAAATAAAGAACAAGGGCTAATTAAATAGGGCCGATCGGGGAGGAGTAAATTATTTAACACGGCCCACGCGTACTGATGGCTCGTCTTCAGATCTCGAGTCAGAGTCTCCTTTTTGTTGCTTTTGTCTTCTCTCTGACTTTACATCGTCTTTTCTGCTCCTTTACTGCATTTGCACTAATGCCGTTTCATGTCTTAAATTGCTTCATTCAGTAGCCGCAGAGCAGTCGTGAAGCAGTAACAGGAACAAATGCTCGGCCAGAGCTGCTGCAAGATTACATTGTGGGTTGATTAAAGACAAGGAGGGAGATACCAGCCCCATCCTTTCAAATCAACATAGAATGGGTGACAGAAATATCCCCGCGCGGCTAATTTAACAATGGACTGAGTTAAAATGTTAACTTTTGGGTCCTTATGCTTTATACACACACACACACACACACACATATATACATCTATATATATATATATATATATACACACCACCTACCTACCCGAACCCATGCATTTTGAAATAAATAACCCTTTCTGCTTTATTATACCCTTTAGAAACCTGTAGACTGTTAAGAGAGCTTTTTGCTGTGCTGTGCAGTATGACCAAAAGTTCACAGGGAAACTCATGTATTCATTCACTCAGCAGGGGATGGCATTTTCCATTTTTTCTCTTCTGTGTTGTGGTCTTTTTCTGACAGCAGTGCTCTCTCCGGGCCAATTTCAGACTTTCTGATCACCCACTGCACCGTGCTCATCTTTCAATGGCTACAGGGTGCTAACTGCAAAGCCT